TTTATGCCCACACAGTTGTATGCGTTAGAAATGTCTGTTGTGCATAAGATAACAGGTTTTTTGTTGTTTTTTAGGTGAGCTATTTGGTGTAGCATTTGGTTCAGGCAAGTGGCAGGTGATCTGTGTTTCCTGTAGGCCAAAGTGGTGGATGGTAGAAGGCGATTGTTTTCAAGAAATTGATATAAGCGATCTTTTACGCAGGCGTTTTTGACTTTTAGGAGAACCGGTATTAGGGCTATAGGGCGAAAGTTTGGATAGTGGTTTAGATCCTTATCTTTCTTTTAAATGGGTACTATTTTTGCAACTCTTTAATTTTCTGGGATTTTGTTGGATATGAAGATGTCGTTTAAGCACGTTTTTAGGTTGTTAAAGGTAAGGTCAGGGAGTTTGTCCACACCAGCCGCATAGTTCTTTTTCTTTCCATATATTGTGTCCTTGATTTCCTCAAAGCTGAAAGTTAGGTTTGGAGACTGCTCTATGGGATTGTTTGTTGCGTGTGATGAAACAGTTGTTGGAACCTGTTCCTTTAACGCGTCTAAGAAGGATTGATTATTATCGCTGTTCCACATACCAGAGTGGTCCTGGTCGAAGTCGCCTCTTAACGCTTTTACGAAGCGCCAGCCCTTCCTTCCTATACCTGAGTTGAGTTCTTAAATTTTTTCATCAAAATTTTCTTGTTTTTGCTTTTTTAACCTTTTCTCAATTTTTTTTTTTTGAGATATGAGATTTTCAAAATTTTCCACGCTTGAAATACTTCTAGCTTTTTGGCCTGCAGCTCTGAGCAGTCTGTACAGTTTGTGGATCTGCCCTCACTCACGGTGTATGTGGCACTCTTGATTTCTTCTTCAACCTTACTTTCAAAATCTTGGATATTTGAGTCCCATTCAAGGGTCTCTAGAGATTTTAGTAGTTGGTTTTTTGCAATGAAACTGTTTGCTTTAAGTTTGCAGTTGCTAGTTTCTATCATTACCGGTAAGTGATGGCTACCGCCAATCCTGGTTGTGTCCACATTCCAGGTGCATGTGAGGTTAGAGTTGGTAAAGGTGAGATCCAGCACGGAGCCGTTGTTAATTCTGGGGCTCTTTGGAAAGTGTAGTTACCATTATTTAAGCACTGAAAGTTGGATTTTTGAATGAGCTGTGCTAGAAGTTTGCCTTTGCCCGAGTTCACATTGTCCCCCCCCCCCCCCCCCCCNCTAGCGTTGAAGTCTCCTAATAAATATGAATGTGTTTGGTTGGGTTTCAAGAAAATCTATTAACCTTTGGGTTTCTAGTTTGAAATTGTTTATGTTTACACTTGGTGGGAAGTATGCAGAACAGATAACATTAGCTTCCAGATTGAGGGTTTTGATGATGATAATGTCACTATCTGTGTTGTACGTGATTTTTTTGAATTTTACATTTTTCCTTAGGGCTATGGCAACACCGCTATACCCATCACTTCTATGCTTTTTATTGGCTGCGTTTCTTTATACATTCCGGATAATCCCATTTCACAGCCGGAATAAACAGAATGCGTTTGAAATATACGTCAACATATCATCAGGAACGTTCTAAGGAATAAATAAACAAAAAAGTTTATTCCAAACGTTCAGAACGAATAAAGAAATGCAGCTAATATTATATTTGTTGATGTAGTACTCAGTAGCATCAATATCTGCCTTTAGAGATTGGCAATTGTATTGAAGAAACTTCATTGTGGTTTATCAGGTGAAATTAGAGACTCTTTAATTTCAAGCTCGGCTCTCCTGACTAGGATTGATTCGAATTGGTTCTTTAACTGCTGAATTTGCTGAAAACTGCTTGAGTCACTATTTTGAATAGTTAGATTATGGGTGATTTTGAAAATTTCTGCTATCAGTCTTTCAAACTGAGTTACTATATTTTTTTGGTATGGAAGCGAATTGTAAACCGGGTTGGGAGTAGTTTTGGGTTTTGTTTGAAAATTATGATTATCGCTTTTATAATGAAACTCCCTTTCACTACCATTTTTACCATGTTGCTATATTTTCTTTTCGTAAAATTTCTATTAATTTGCTCAGTCATGTCTACAAAGCCATTTTCTTTTGTAATAAGCGGGAAATTTACATCTTCATTTTCAAGTATATTAAAGCGCTTGGAATTTTTTGGAAAGTAAGTGTCTAGCACCTCTTTCCTTGTCAATCTTTTTACAGTCTTGATGCGGTTCACCGACATCTCTTTTTCCCAATGTGGGCACCTGTCCTTATCTTTGGCACTGGTGCCGTTCCTACCACAGAGAATATGTATATGAGTGGGTTTCACATTCGTTGTTGTTGCATTCAATTTTGCCGCATTGCAAGCATCTTTTCTATGATTTGCACCCGCATTTGGTGTGACCTAATCTACCACAATTTACACATTGCCTCAGGGGAAGTATGTATATGTCTACGTTGAGTTTTGTAAGCTCAACAATAATTTCTGTAGGAACGTCGCTGCCTGAGAAGCCTATCTTTATTGTTGTAGTGGGGGAGTAAGTATCGGCTACAGCATCTTTGCGTTTAAATCGCATAACAGACACAATTGTGGCTGCAGACCTTGCGTTTTTTAGAATGTCATACTCACTGAAACATACTGGTACTCCACGTACCACTCCGTAAATTTCAAGAGCCGTTCTGGCAATGGTTTCAATTCCCTCTTCCTTACTCTGTTGTTATCCAACAGAAAGCTGTTAGCCGCAAAGACGTTATTGAAGGTGACTTTATAGAGAGATCTCCCTATCGCGTAAACTAGATCAAGGTCTTGTACTTTGAGGTCCTTAATTTGGCTGAGGAGGGTTAGGCCAGTAGTAATTTGTCGTTCCTTATCGCTTGGCACTCAGACGAGTCAACCAACAGAAAAATTTCACCTTTGAAATTTGGCGGATTTTTCACAAGAATTGATAATTCTTGCTTGTCATTTTTTGCCAATTTGCCATCGTCAGCCACATTAAGAACTCCCGTTTTTTTTCTATAATTTTTTCCACGGTATAATCCGTCTTCATGTCACCAGACACATCAGAATTTTCAAAATGTTTTTCTGAACAGATCTTTCTTAAACCATCATTCGATAGTTCATAAAAACCTGTTACGTCGTCATTATTTAGTAGTTATTTTTGATTTTTTGGCCGTGCTACTTTCTGCTTCGGCAGAAAAAGCACATGGCGCCACAGACTTGTCCGTCACTAGACGCAGCTTATTTTTCCTTTTCACAGGCAATTTAGAATTAGTATACGCACTTTGTAGAACAAATTCAATAAAGAAAAAAGAGAAACCAGAATCACTTACCCAGCATAAGATGTGCAGCTATTCGGCCTTATTTTTTAACATAAACGTAGATAATGAAAAAATGTACACACACTCAAAAAGCCGCAGCCTCACAATAGCAAACAAGTGTACAACTGTATAAAAGATTTGATTTTAGGCACAGGTTAAGAACGCTCGTGTCGAGAATCCGAATGTGTTAAAAAATATCTAAAGTTGTGACTGGTGGGACATCTCATCTTCTTTTGATATTTTTTTATATTTTCCCACCGGTTAATGAAATGTAGTCATTTAACGTATAGTTGTTACGGAATTCTGTATTGGAAAAATTGGAAAACTTATTTTTGTTTATATGTTTTTAAGTTTTCCTTTACGAAATTCTGTTTGGAAAAAATCGAAAAAGCATATGGATAGTAAAACAAAAGCCCACTTGCAATACAGAATACTAAAATACAGAATATTAAAATACAGAACTTTGTTATACAGAATTTTGCTATACAGAGTTTTGAATACCAAATTTTGAATACGGAATATTGAACCATAATAATTTTAGATAATTTACCATGTAGATTTTTTTGCTGCTGTCATTAGTACCACGTGTAAACAAAAGTATAAGTAATACGCTTAGTGTTAAGTTAGGTTGAAAAAATACAGTTATAATTTTTAAATTTTTTTTATAATTTTTTAGCCATTTTTTTAAGTACTTTCATACCATAATTTTTCTAAGTGTACATAAAAAACCCATTTTGTAATAGAAAATATTATTTTTTAATTAGGAAAGTATTTTCCTCTATAAAAATGTTCTTTTTTCTCATAAAATATTTCACATAAACGCTTCCTCACGATCATGCTATATATATTTTTTTTAGAAAAATAATGGCCTGTAGTCATAGTCAAAATAAAGTCGACTTTAAAGTTAGTTGCAGCTTTTTTGACAGATATCCCATTGAAAATTATGTCAAAAAGCTGCAACTAACTTTAAAGTCGACTTTATTTTGACTATGACTACGGGCCATTGTAATGATCTTTGTCACATAATCTGGCATAACTTATACAATGAAACTGGAATAAATAATTACTCAGTCTTGAAACCATAAATATACAATTTTTCGATGAAAACCCAAAAAAAAAATAGCAAAATTGTACAGCAGCGTCCCTAGGGTAAGGTTTAGGTGAAAATAAACATAAAAAATGGATTCCTCGACCCAAAAACCACTGTGGTCAGTTGTTCACGCTTGCCTGGTTATCAGGTTATTGTTGTACAACAACAAAATACACTACAGAAAAATTATTTTTAACTAGATAAACTGTTATACTATAACTTTCCAGAAGGCTTTATTTAATTGATCGAATTCTTCTCAATTTTTCCTGTACACAGATTCACCAGAGAACGTGCGTTCTCTGGTGATATAATTTAGAAATTCGTATACGCTGCAACTATTTTGCCACAGATGTCCCGCCGCGCAGGCCAGGTGGCAACTACCGTTTTAAGTAAAGGCAGCCAACTTCATTGGCAAGCCAATATTCCAGCTACATTTTTTTTTACCTGGAAGAAATTGCATAAATTCCAGATCTTTTGCAAAGGTGACTTCTTTTTCTAATACCCGCCTTTGAGGTTACGTTAAAATGGTAAGCGTGCTTTTTGAATACGCTACATTTATTTCATTGGTTTCGGCATTTAATTGTACATGTTAAAACGTATAGCTCGTGCTTCCGTGTTAAAATACTATTTTAATTTCAGGTTAGCTTAGATCTTGCAATATTGCTACAAGTTTGGTTCTATAGAAAGAATACCAAGGCGCGTGAGATGCGCCGTGGAGATTAGCAGTTTGCCCCCGAAGAACAACCGCAACAATCCCAAAATCCAAACGACCTGCAAACAACTAACAACTCGGACAACAATCAATCTCTTGCTATCACTACTACAAGCAGTGGAGATGACCATCTGCTCACCGCCATTGCTGATGATGAACATTTCAACAGCTACGCGAATCCTGAATACAGAAAATATCATGATAACAAAGCCTTCCAATATCATCTTAATAACAATACCCTTAATAAAGGGAGAGAGGCATCAAGAAAAATGCTTGCCGATGAAAGAGGAGACTGCACTTTAGATTCAGTGGTAATTGTCAAGCGGCCTGATAGCATATCGCGAAAATCATCGAGTCGAGCCAGGCCGGACTCTCCCAATAATAAGGGATCTATGTCTGCTAGAGATGGTGGAAGAGGGCGTCGTAAATGTCGATGCCAACATGGTGATACAGTGCGACAACGACACAATGCTACACAAACGCCGGACTCGATTTTAAGTTGGAGTCAATTGCATAGCTGTCATGGCCATAGCACTACAATGGATTGCTGTGCAAATCATCAAAAATCAAACAGCTGCTGTGGTCTGATAAATGGCAACTTAAAGTCTGGCGAAATCACGTGTCACTGCCATATCACGCATCATTGCCACCATTATTCACCTGGAAGTGGTGATGGAGGTGAAAGCAGACCTATGAAACAATGTGAACATCGTAATCGGACAAGTCGCACATTTCATCAACGTCATCATGCCCACCATCATCGGCACCAACACCATCATCATCATCACAACTATCGCCACTTGCAACCGGAACTGCATTATCGAAATAAAAACAACGTCCGCCGACTTCCAGGTTATAATAGTAAGTCTTCCTATGGTTCCAGTGACGATCTGCAGCAATCGAGTGTGGATACTGGTGAAGAAAGGTTGCATGAAATAGCAATTGAAATAGATGCAGCTACAATGACTGAAGACAATACAAGCACTGCCACCTCAAACTTTGCCTACAAAATGGCGATGGGTAGCATGGAGCCTATTATATTGGCACCGTTACACGACAACGATGGGGATGGCAAGAAACAGCGGCGAAAACATCCACGCGAACGATGTGATTCAATGAATTCGAACAGTACAGTTGAAACGGATGAATTGTCGCGAGAAAATTTCAATGAAAGCAATGGTGAAGAAAGAGGTGAGCTTATAAATAAGGAATAATATGTGTATATGTAGAGAATTATGCAGGCTTAGCTTAGTAAAACCCGCGTTTAAATTTCATTTTTTCCCGTGTTTGGACAAAAATTTTGATTTACCAAAAAATGTGTAAAATATTTATTTTTACAGCGATATCAAATTCATTGATCACCGGGCCACATAAAAACGCCCACCATACACTTTGGGGTAGCAGAGATATAAACGGTAAGTATTTCCCCTAATTATATAAAACAAATAAAAGTTCTAAAGCCGCGAAGGTTTTTTAAACGATTTTGAATTAAAATTTGTATTATGGCTTTCACATTTCGTGCCTAAAAATAAAGTACAGTTTTTCATCGCGATTCTTTAGTTTTTATGTGCTCTATTTTTTCGTACCTATGATTCTAGAAATATCTAATGATCAAATATTCAGAATATCAATATGCATGTTACAACCAATTTTAAATTTATTTCTCTTTATTTTCAGAATTTTTTAATAATTACATTCGGACCGAAACAAAAACCGACAGACGTATTCAGGACAAAATTACAAAACACATGGCTTGCTGCAATGATTCTATTTGTGGCATTACTAGCGGTGAAAGAAGGAAGCAGGATGCGGCACATAACGAATGTGTTAAAATTCGACGAAAATTATATGATGCTGGTGTTGCAGACGATTGCTGCAGCACTTGCTCGCATTGTTCCAATTGTTCCTGCCAAAATGCAGATGCCACCAGTTGCAGTAGTATCGATGACTTGGATGCTGATGATAACGACGAGGAGGGACGAATGGCACCACACGAGCTGGTGGTGTCGGCAGAATGTCACCGCTGTAATTTGCGCCGAAGGTCCACAATATCAACGGGAGAAGAGGCAGAAGAGGAAGCTCAGACAGATGACAAATTAACAGCGGCCAGCATTGGCAAACAGGTCGCACAAGAAAAAGAAAAGACTACCACAGAAAGTTCAACGCATACTAGCCGAAGAAGCAGTGCAAGCTTCTGCTCCTGCCATTCGAGCACTTGCTGTTGCTGCGAATGCGACTGTGCGGACGAAGCTGGCGATGATGACTGCGAGACTGCTACAACTGGGAAAATGCACACCGCTAGGGACACTTCGTGTACGGCTTTAACATCTGCGGCAGATTTCGATGCAGAACATTCAAGTACCCTGACGCCTTTGACAAATGCATCGTCAGTTGCGTCAACGCCAAACGCTGAAGATGCAGATGTAACACTGCGCAGTTTCAACAACACATTAACAGAGGACATAGGTTCATCACTTAGTCAATCCGCAGAATATTTCTCACTTTCTTCTGGTAATCACCAAAGCCAAAAGTCACCCACAGAAACACCAACGCGAAGGAAACTGAAAATTCCTGGCGAAATTAATCCAGCTGAATCGGTATCGAAATCAACCAATGTTCCAGCGTCTAGTAGGAAGCCCTGCAAGCATTACATCAAACATCATCGTCATAAACGGGACACATCTCCATTGGATAGCTACTTATGACGAAGTGTTTCGCTGGTCGCGTGGCCAGCGATCGATGTGAACTCGCTACTTCAGCAGACGATACGGAAAACAGCCGTTCTCCACGAGCCTGCAATGGTGCAACAAACGCTATCACATGGTAAACAATCAAGCAACAAAACTCATCGAATCAATTTTAAATGAAAGCAACACCCTTCTGTTTCAGAACTACAGCAGCAATCCGGGACACGACATGGGAGCAATGATAGTTCGACCGCCACGCTGACACCATCAATTACAACAATCATCAAATACCCACCAATGAATAGCACAGCCAATAGCGCTTGTAGCGTCTCAGGCACACCACAACAGATGTCATTGCATTCGCTTAATGCCGTCTCGACGGTAACTACTATTTGTGGCAGCAACGGTGCTTCTGTGGTAACTACCGCCTCAGCACCATGTAGTGGTCGTGCAAAACGCACTTCCAAATTTGCGCCTGCATCCTCGGATGCATTCAGCTGTGACCCCATGCTTTTTGGGCAGGAGCGACGATCAACTGAAATAATCTTATAGCCACGTGGCAATAATGGAAGCTGTAAACTGAGGGCTAGGGGCTAGAGTGCCATATTTATGTATCTTACATAAATTTAACGGTATGGAAACGCTAATACTCGGATGGCTACACCTCCCAATTAAAAATGTGTTATTCATTTTGATGTTTTTATTTTGTCGTGCTGCTATGCTTTCTCTAGTCACTGTTTACCTATTTTAATTGGGTTGAATCCGAATTTTATGATTTGCTAGCATGATATTTAGAAAGAGTTCAAACGCAACTTCGTGTTTATCATAAAATTAGTTGATAATTTCCGATCTACAGCATAAAGACTGTTTAACGTAAAATTATTTTAGATCACTACGCCCTTGCGTTTTTGGTTACTTGATCTGAGATTGCCATAAGTCGATATACATATGCGCATGCTAAATATTTTCCTCTCGGCTCTTGCAGGTATTATAGATTGATTATGAGTGCTGAAGACCCTACGGTTTTCATATTGTGTGAATACGACTAGATACAAAAATATCTCGAGACTTGGAGAGTTGAAATTTGTTGTTTCTCGGGGGTTAAATTGTAATTTATTTAAATTATGTAACTACGTATTTGTAAATTAATGTAAAGCAAATATTTAAGAATGTATGAAAATAGCAATTTTTTTATTAATAAAAGTAGTTTTAGATCGAAATTATGTAAGTGTTATGCATTCTAATAAAAATTTACAACTACCTATATTCGCATATACATATTTTGTTTTGAATAGGAAATTTTTTATAATTTCCTAGAAATGTTTAGTTTATTTTCCTATAGGAAATATTGAATTTAGGCATAACGGCTGGATAAGATCGTAATTGCAGTATCTATTTGTATGATCAAGCGAAAATCCATGGTCACATATGAATCAGGGCTGTTTTGGTTAGGTAGACTCACCATTGCAGAAAACGAAAAAGTGCCTGGGAAACGGGTGTAATCGTGCTGCAATTAATGCGGCAATGTTACTTTTTACAGATAAGCATCAAGAAAGCAACATGGATGCAGTATTGCAGTAATTGCGTGTGTTCAGAAATGCATCAGGCCAAAGCATCAGTCTATTTTACTTCTGAACTATTATTGATGAAAACACCGTATTTATGCAACTAAGTTCCAATTAGGCATTTAAGCGTGGTTGTGCGTATTGGACATTTCCATCAATTATAGTTTAGTAAAAAGGCATTATTTGGCTTGATGCGTTTCTGAACACGCCCATTATTACATAGATCGAACGCACCCTGCATCAAGCCAAAGCATCAGCCTCTTATTTGTAAACTACAATTGATGGAAATGGCTTATTTGCATTTATTCGGCATTTAACCATCGCTGCGCATATGGATATCCCCATCATTTATAATTTAAAAATAACACTGATGCATTGGCGTGATGCATTTCTGAACACGGGGCGTGTTCTGTCCACAATTGATTATGCCCGTTTTACAAATGGGGCTTGTTCGAGTTGCAATCTCAACCTCAGTGTTGCGCAAACCATTAAATAAAGTTCGTTGTGAATTTCTACCAACTTTTAATCAGTTGGGGAGTTGCAACAATGTTCTAAATTTTCCTCAGTGCCGCTTTTATTACGTGCCTCGAACAGGCCCATGCTTATCCATTTTGGATTCAGCTTCTTACGACAGTATGGGTGCGCTCAGAAATGCATCAAGCCAAAGCACCAGACGCTTTTATTTCTAAACTATAATTGATGGAAATGTCCAATATGCTCAACCACGGTTAAATGCCCAATTGGAACATAATTGCGTAAACAAGGTATTTCCATTAGTTGTAGTTTAGAAGTAAAAGAGACTGATGCTTTGGCTTGATGTATTTCCGAAAGCACCCTATAGCAGCGCAGTATAAGTATTTTAAAAATTGTGTTTGCATTTATGGAAAAGTTTTTAATCGAATAGCTGCAGCAATATGTTTTGTTTATTCGGTTATAATACTGCATTTACGAACAAACTTTATCGTACGTGTTGTCTATAGACATTTCATTTTCGCTCGATAGCAAAATTTACTCTTTATTTCGCAAAAAAGCAACCATTCAATGTTATCTAGTTTAGTTTTAATAGTTAGAGCAAAACTTTTTAATTATGTGCATAATTCTGTATAAGTTGTAGAATTTGTTAATTCCATGCAGAATGTCTGAATAAAGAAAATGCAAAATGGGTATATTAAACTAATTGTGGTGCTTTTATTTTTATTTTTTTAATTTCAAGTCTTAGATGAGCAGTGTATGCATGCATGTTGGTGTATCAAGAATTAGTAATGGTAGTTCTTCCATTTTTAAGATTTTTGTGTGTGATGATTTTGTGTATTATTTTTTAATACAAAAGATTAGTTCACGGTTTCGGAAAGCATATCAATTCGATGCGTTGAGCATGATTTAATGGTATGAATAAATTAACCAAGATGTACTTTGTTTTTTGTTGTAACCATTTGAATGAACACAAAAAAAAAAAATCATTTGCCTTTTAAGGTTACATTAATATTTTAGTTGTACTTATTCGTGAGTAGTAAACGTTAGATTCCTTGTGCACACAAAAATCATATACCTATGAATATGTCTAAGAAGTTCATAAATAGAAGTTTTAATGTGCGAAAATTTATGTAGATGATAGCACTTAAAACATGCATTTAATTAAATCTATAACCACCATTTACTATATTAATATGAAAACTAAATTGGCAATACTGTTTAGAAATTATATACTTTGTGTGTACGTTTAAGAAGTTTATCGATATTATAACTAGTAACTTGTCATAATTACATACCACTTCTACTGGTACAATACGAATTGTTAAATAGTATGTAAAGTTTGTCATTATCTTCCATTGTATTAAAGTACATCTAGCGGCCATACAAAATAAATCGTGTTTACCACTCGGGGCGAATCGTAACATTTTATGTGCATATTTTATGACTTTTAAGCAAAATATTTTGGCTCATTTAAATATTTTGAAAAACTTTCTCCAGAAAATGTCCTAAGAAAATAGAAAAAATTGTATTTTAAGAGCTTACAACTTTTTAAAAAATTCTGCAATTATGTGAACAATTTTTTTTTGTTTGAAATTCATTAAAGCATTTATTTCTTAAATATTGTACAGGATTTCGGTGGTTTACTCCTTAAAAAACCCAATGAGTAATTTGGCTATGTTTTATATAGTAAGCTACAAAAAAAAAGTTATAAATAAATTCCATCACGTAAATTTTCCGAGAAAATTACTTTTTTTTTTCATTTTCCATAGTATTATCGCCGAGTTATTATAAGCGATAACTTTGAAATTCCATTTTTTGAGTTAGTTAGCCTTTTTAGGTGTATTTTTAACTAGTACTGTTGGGTTTTCTGGGAAAATTTTCCAATTATGCACCAGGCTTTGAACAGGGCGTGCCTTCTCTTTTCATCCAATCAAAAAACGTCCTAGGGCGTGAAGGCACGCCGTTCTTACTCACACTCGCTGCAATTATAACGAGTTGCTCCTTATTATCTACGTTCTTTGGTTCAGCCAAAATAATTTGATCTAGGCCCCAATAGTTTTTTTAAGATTTTTTTATTTTATACCAAATTCGTCATTTCCAAAACTTCAGTTTTCTCATTTTTAAATAAAGTGGCTCAAGTTTGAATTTTTGGAAATTTCAGACGCCATATTGGACAACTAGTTTGAAATTTGTAGTGAGCGAACCTAAGGATCTCTAAGTTTCATGAACATTCAGTAATATTTTAAATTCTGGGACGCCATTTTGGATTTGTTATTGGACTTTTGAAAATTTACTTCAACTTTGTTGAATAAGCCGTGTTATTAAGGTGTTGATAATTAAGCAACCAAGTTTTATTATGTAATATTTCAAACCAGCAATTACCGTTTTAATTGAAAGTTTCCTGAAAATATTGTTAAGAAAGCTATCAATTCATGACTGTTAGAACGTGCCACGATCGGAATTCGTTGAATTAAAGGGATCCAACGGCTTGCTCAGCCAATATTATTGAAAATACTAATCAGTTTTGAGTTCGTTGGAAATTTCTGAACAATAAGCTTTATTCCGGTTAATTTATCATAGTTTTAAAATATGCCTTTTTCGCGTAAAACATGGCTTATCCGACCACTGTGTGTCACCCCAACACCAATGAATTCGCCCCCTGAATGTCGATATTTTTATAAAAAAAATAAAGATTTGGTATGGAGAACATAAATAAACTAGCCGGCCACGGATGAGCGAGGCTCTGCCACGTGCTGAATGTATGCATATGTATGTACATATGTACATATACGTATTTGGAGAAAGAAATCATATGTCATCATGTACTTCGTTTTTTGTATACATAAAAAAATCTTGCCTAAATCCGTTCAGTAGCGTGATTAAAATATCTCGCCTTTCCTTTATACTATGTATAGAAGATAGTAATTTTAAATAGGTGGCAACCCTATTCATAAAACTTAAAGTTTTTGTACATGCGAAGGTCATGCACTTTCATTTGGTATCTTATTTTTTTTTTTTTATCCGGAGAACGGTGACGATCTTTTATTTTTTAAACAGGTGGCAACCCTACTCAGAAAAATACATAATACATTATTACACATCCAGAGGCTAAATCTTTTCGTTTGACAGTGACGGTACAGATGAGGCCTACGCCTATTAAATTTGGGCATTTTATTAAAAGGTTGCAGCCATATTCAAAAAAAAAAAATATTACTTTTCTAGAGGCCAATCCCTTTCATTTGACACTTCATCTTTTGTAATCCAAAGAAAGGTGCCGATCTTATAGTTTTTTAGACAGATGGCAACCCTATTAGAATTCTAAGTAAAAAAGATCCCGCTCCTGTCGATACAGAGTATATTAGAGAAAATCTCGGCAAAATCCGCTAAGTAGTTTTCGAGATTACCGCGTACAAAGAAACTCGACTTTCCTTTATACTATGTATAGGTAATATCGTCAAAACGCCAGTGTACGCATATTTTTGACCTTGACCGTATGTACATACACCTAGCAGCAAAAGTGTGCGAACAATTTTTTTTTCATTATTAACCGACTTCCAAAAAAGGAGGAGGTTATCAGTTCATCGAAATATATTTTTTTTATGTATGTTACCGCATAGCTTTGGACCACGACAACCGATTTCTGTAATTCTTTTTGCATCGGAAAGGTAGTGTCTCAGAGGTTGTCGCATGCCATATATATATATATATATTTTAAGCCGTTTTTTTTTTGCTAAAAACTACTTGTTCACGATTGTTTCAGGTTGATTTATTTCACCAAATTTTTATAAAAAAAACATAGTTAATACTGCAACTAAAGCCTCAAACATCTACTAGTCCTCCAACAGCTTAACTGCAATTAAGAGCTCAGATAAGTTGCAAGAACTCATTATTTATGAGCAATTGCAGCCTTCGAGCTGCAATCTCCTTTTTCCAATAGGCATAAACTGCAGTTAAGGCTTGGTGGAAATGAACTAAAAATAAGTTCAAGCTTTCTACAAACAATTAATTTTTAAGAAAAAAAAACCGACTTCAATCAATGCTAATATAAAGATTTATGAATACCGTTGGTTTCTTCAAGATCCAAAGGTCGTAACTTTTTGGATAAAAAAGGTTCACGTGGTTATCCGGTAATACTGGTTTGTGTATAAAAATAGTTTCGATAAATTGATTACCTCCTCCTTTTTTAGAAGTTGTTTAAAACTAAATATATTTGAAAAAATTTCTTCAATACTTTTTA